TGCCAGTGCAGAGCCACTGCACTTTGGACCGCCGAGTTTGCGTCTTCGATTAGAGCAAATGTCATTTTAAACAAAGCCAAATCAAATCAAAACCTTAACAGAAAGTACTCAATCATACATTTCAGATTGTTAAGAGTTATTAAAAAAAAATCAGATGCACACATGCATCTCATCACTCCCTCTAAATCCCGACTTCTTGTTTGAATACACCAACTGAGACATAGCTTGTGAATACTTTAGAGCTCCGATCCATCACAAAAGGGTTTGAGTTTGCCTGACCTCCAGTCCTCAAATCTATCAAGATCTAGGGCCCAGTTTGGTTTGCCGGTCCCACCTAACAATGTTTACTCTGCTTTATGGCCTCTCTGTTTGCTTTCCCCTTCACTGGAGCGACCAGATCTGGGTCCCGGCGGCGTGAGAGGGGCCTGCCGCATTTGGGGGTCTCCAACCAGGGACTGGGCCCACCCTGAATGCAGCGCGTCAGCTAAAAGATTTAACAGTGCCGGGATGTCACCCTTTTTATTTTGCAGCTGACGCAAACTTACTCACACATGCAGCAATCGACCGCCGCATGTGAATCTGAGATCTGGGTTCTGATAGGCAGCTTTTATCTGCCCTGGCAGCTCTCACCTCTGGTTTGTCATGCTTCCCTTGAGGACATCGTAAAATTAAATAACATGCGCAGGGAGAATAAAGGAGGCACTGTCTTCTTCTTTTCTGTGAAGAAGAGAGAAAAAAAGCATCCATCAAAGGGCAAACTTTTCCTGATAGATTTATTCCTGAATGAATCATAAATTATTTCATGCATACAAGTGAGGGAGAGGGGAGGGGCATAGCCTGAAAAATGCACAAAAATGAACTCCTTAACTTTTTTACTCCAGTGTTACGCTTTAAGATAAGGGAAAATAATGCTAACAGATCATCCTTCATATTTGTTTTCATGGCTTTCCCTGGAAGCTATGGTCATATATTTTTACTGAAACAGCCTTACAGAAATCCTGATGCAGTTAAGTCGGGTTAAAGTTCAGCGGGTTTGAGAAATGTACCTAAGATTTTTAAATGTGTTAACCCCACAAATAGTCGTTTAAAAAACTAACTTAGTAAGCGTTCCTGCTTTTAAAAACTAAAACTGAGCAGTTTAGGAAATGTGTAAGAGCATGCATGTCTTTTAACGGTTTATGGATATGCATGCTAGTTATTGTAGGTTGTAGTTGGTCCATTTATCCCTACATGGTAAGAGCAAAAAACCACAAAGCTTTGATTTACAAATCCTCGCTGCACCTTTGTTATAATTGTTGGGGGGTATTATTAGTCCACTTGCAGGAGGATCACATGAGGCCTTTAGGGGGGGGATGGGCAAACTTTTCAGAGGGGTGGTATGGCTTTAAGAGTTTACTACCAACACTGCGCTCACTCGGTCTCAGACACACACACACACGCACACACACACACACACTGCCGAAAGTTTAACGGCCAGGTCAGCAGCGGGATAAGGACGGATAGGAAGTGACGGGGCTGCAAGAATTTACGAAGGAGGAGGGGGTAAAAAAAAAAAAAGAAAGCTAAGTATATCAACACAAAGCAGAATGAGAAGCAACGTGCCATCATTGGACTCTCGGCCGTAGAGGGAGGGAGCTGGAATTGCGCATGATCCCGACACCAACACCGGAGCTGGAGACTTTCAATTGAAGTTAAGTTGCCAGAAGTGAGAAGTAGAGATTTAAGTGATTTTTTTTTGGGGGGGGGGGGGTTTGGCCGTGTGATATCCATGACTGCGGAATCAGCTGGCCCACACGGCACCGCTTGGATCAGTGACCTATAAACTCCAAAACCCCCGGTCCAAACATGAGAGAAAAGACTTAAACGAGACTTCCAAGAGAAGAGTTTTTTTTGGGGGGGGGGGATATGAGCGCAGATCCTCGGATTTCAACTCGATTATTTCCTCCGTGGGGTTCGGATTCGCGTCTTCGGGGATGTTCGGGAGCCGCGTCCCTGCGGCTTGGGTCCGGATACTGACCCGTCTGCTGTGCGTCCTGGGGCTGGTGGTCACCGCGGGGCTCGGGTCCGAGCTGCGCGTGCGGGTCCGGCTGGCCGACGGACTGGTGACCGAGGAGGTGCTGGAGGCGGACAGCGAGAAGGACTCCATAACGCTCGAATTCAAGCAAGGGGACGGGACCCTCATCACCTTCGTGGCGGACTTCAAACAGGTGAGAAGAGAAGCGCTTTTAGTTGGAGTTGAAAATCTCTTTTCGTCACGAGGGGGAACGATCCCCTGCTCATCCTGGGGGGTGAGGTTTACATTCACAAATAACTGAATTGCTACTTTACCTGAGCCAAAACTTTACGGCTCCCAAATTATAGACTGAGGTCCTCTTGTAAAATAGTAAATAGAGTAATAAGAATTTCATTTACAACCCAATACTGTAGGATATGGAGCTATGGGCAGATACGTTATGTAAAAAAACTAAAATAAAACTAAATAAATAAATAAAAAAGTCCAGTCTTGATGAGAATTAAAGGTGCTCACCCACTCTCATTTTCTTAAAAACCCTTTAAAGGGGCCCAGCTCTCACTTTGCGGAACACACATTTGTCAATTTAGAGTTTCCTATGGTGAAATCTGACCAAGGGTCCATTTTGGATGATCAGAAACCTAATCCATAACATATTTTTTTTATCAGATTTCCAAATACAGGCTGAAATCAATGAGGAGCACTGGCCTCCTGGTTAAGTTTGAATACCCTCAAACAAGTATGCAGGCTTCCATAACCAAGGCATACGATAAATGTATTCCAATGCACAAAACTCCCAGGAGAATTCTACTCTAACTTGCATGGGAGCTGTAGAAAAAAAAAAGTTTCATTCATGTTTTCCATCACAGCAGGAGATTCGCGGACACCACGACAGCTGTTGCTCCTTAGACATGGAGGCTCACTGAGCCCAGAACAGTTGCAGCCCACGGGTCCCGTCCAGAGCCGATCATAAGTGGCCACGTTTAGCGTTCTCCTAAAAAAAGGAGGAATGGATCGAGTGTCCTGCCCCTGACCAGATCTGTGGCTTTGATGTTTGGAAGAGATGCTTCTTGCCCCGCGCGGGGGGCAAAGGCATGTGTGTGTGATGGTTGCTGTCACACAGAGGCTGACGGCCTGGCAAGATGTGAAGGGGGGGAGATTTACCAGGATTAAGTGGGCATGTCTGACCTTTTTGATCTGCGTGTCCGGTTCGCTAACCAAAAACGGCTAATTTGGAGTTGAAAGAAAAGAGGCCGTCGTCCCCAATATTCGGTGACACACCAGCAGAAACACACGTGCGCCCATCTGAGTGCTGGGGGGCGTTTGTCTTGGTTCTGCTGCATCCCCCTCACATGTGCACATGCACTCGGACATGCATCCGCTCATGTGGTTTTGTTTATTTGAATGAAGCCCGTAAAACTTTTCAGATCGCTCTGCTTTCCGCTCTCTGATTTATCTGTTCCAGTTGTGGCTCCGTCTTTTTCTTTGTCCTCCTCTCTGTCTCCTGTGGCATGTGGTTTCCATTCAGCTCTTCTGCAGCATCTCCGTGATTTATGGAAAATTGGACGAGCTGTCACTCCTCGATGCCATAAATATACAGTTGAGATGAATGTCACGCGTGAAAAAAAGAATGTTTTAACAGGAATGTAACACTGAGTCTTACAACTATATAGAAGCCAGACAGTCGGGGATAAAAACTAATCGGACTCATCCACGCTTTTCTTGAATTGTTTTTGTTTACTTCAAACCAAATGAATGCATTAAAGAACTCGTAAACAGGGCTGGGATCTTTTCCACAGCAGCCTCCTTCCTTTTGCTGTTTTTTCGACTACGTGGCAAAGAAAAGCAGTAAATGTTATAGCCATTAGATGGTGGTGGAGTGGTCTACTGGATGTGAGAAGGAAGTTTAGTCAACCTTGTCCGAGCAATGAATCACCGCGAGTATCAGCTGTACAGTCGCTTCAGGAGGCCTGCGTTGGCTCTTAAGGCATGTAGACATATGGAAACGATGATGTGGTTTAGCCAGCTCACAACACCTCCGAGTAATGCTTAGTAGATCTCAACATCTGGATAACACTGTCTTTCAGATCCAACCAACTGAGGAAATATGATATATCTGATGTGTTCAACATCAGGGCATCGGAGGAAGGAGGCTATTATCTGACACTTCTTCCACCACTTTCTTTTTGTAATTTTTTAACTGATGGTGCCCTGTTCTTTTTCTCCTGCGCATCAAAGCAACTTTAATAGGGCGGCTTGATGCTTTTTACAACTCAGTCAACCCCAAGTGATGCGGAATAGTCACAGTACAGTCTAAAACTCTGGGACACACTGAGGACTTGTGTTTTTTTTACTTTTTAGCAGGGGGAATGTGAGTACAGATGTGTTGTGGCTTGGATCTGAGAAGTTATCACCGTTATGGTAGGGACCTGCCTCCTCTCTTTCAGCAACTACTGCAGTCTTTGACTTTGAGCTGCATCATTAACCGCCTATTGGGGATTAGTGTATTTTAAACTTTTCCAGCAACCTCTCTAAGTACCTCTGAACGCTGTGTGTCTCCTCTCTTGTACAACGTGTTGGTCAATGTGTTGGGACAGCGAGTGACTGCATCGGAGTCTTGGTCGGGTTAGCTCTAGATTTGAGCCTATTCTCAAAAAGACTCCTGAAAGGTTGAGCTTTTTGTGTTCAACAAAACTTTACCGATAAACCTGTTGACACCGAACTGGATTTGAAACAGTTTTTCCGAGCAAAATTATCAAAACCACAAAGATCCAACTCTTTGATGTTGATGATGGTAATGTTGTCAGATGTTGTAGGTGTGTTTTAGTAGAGCAGAGCTACGGGCTGGAGATGCCTTTTTTGACCACAGCTTCAGATGCGGTCAAAGTAACTTTTAGTCATCCGAAGAAAGAAAATGGACATTAACCACTTTCACCGGGAAATTTGAATGTATTCCTACACACTTACTCTTTGGTGTTTTCGACCAAAAATGCAGCGCCGTTTGAGAGCACCATCTGAGCCTCATCGAGTGCACAAATGCAGCAACGATTTGATCCTGAACTGCATGATCTGGGTGTGTGGAGAGCCCTCCGCGCTGATTGAATCCACGTCGGTTCAGGCCTGGTTTGACTGATCTCTTGTTGTGCTGATGTGTCAATGGGTCAAAGGATGACTGGGGGCCACTTGATAGCATCTGGCATTATCATTCAAAACGGGCCTGAGTTTTTAAAACAATGGCACTCTGTCGAGAGCGTGTGAGCCATTTGATTAATTCAGCCTCTCTATTCTCATTTCATTGGAGCTCATAATATGGATTGTGTTCCAGCTATGTGCTGCGTTGCCCCTCAGGCCTTCTTCACTGTAGTGTACATTGTGATTTTTCTTCAAAGCATGGAGGCTGTCAGGTCACACCCAAAAGAAAACGTACTCCTAGACTGAAGTGAGAATCCTTTACAGTCCTTCATGTCAAACTGATCCTCACTACTTGGCCTGTTTGTTCTCGTATTGGGATATTTCATTTCATGGATCATGTATAAAATGCTCTGTTGGATTTTAACTGTCATGTTTAGCAACTATTCAGCAACATCTTTTACCCTTTCTTTTTTTCGAAGTGAGAAGAGGTTTTGTTTTCCCAGAGAAGCAGCCGCCGTTTTTTTTTTTTCCTGATTGCCGGAACTATACATCAGATGCATGTCAGTGCAGTCACATTTTCTTCCTTTTAGCTGCCACTCCTTGTCTCTTACTCAACCTTGAAACACCATCCCACTTTGTCACTTGCACAAACTTGCCAAAGTCCTCTCTGCAGGCAATTGTCACCCATTCTGGGAAATTCTTTTGATGCAGGCATAGAGTTATTCATGGGAAACATCCATATTGCTTTTTTTAAGAGGTGGCTGTGAGTCATCTGTTGCTCAAGTTGTCCAGAGGTTTAATTGTCTCAATACTGAAAACCTGTTCAGTAGCAGTGACTAAGAAGATCTATTCACTCATGTGGGTCATATGGGTGCAGCATTTAAAAGAATAGGTTGTTTTTTTGGAAGTTGAGAGAAAATCTCTCCATTCATTGTCTGTCATTATTCCATATATCACAATGCATGTTGAGGAGGACTGACTTGAACATAGTCTTGAACGGTTCCAGTCTCTGTGCCGTACAGTGAGATAGATATGAATTTTATTTAGAAGTCTGTGGTGTATAACTTAATGCTAACGGCAAACTGCTGCCTTCTCCAGAACCGGTTTAAGTTAAAGGTGTGGACTGGCAGTTTGATGTGACTTATTTGACAGTTTCATGCCAGTGGTTTGAATAAAGGTTGAAAAAAAAGTTAATGGCAGTTCTGATTATTATATGTTCAAAGTTTGAATAACTAAATAGAAAATATCTGCTAAATTCCCCAAATTAACTTTATAAAAGATGTTGGTTGAAGCTGTATTTGGACATTATTGAAATGTTAACAGTTTGCTGTAGCCATCTTTTTTTGTCATCCACATAGAAAACATTGTGAATGCAAAGTATGTGGACCTCTTAGATGGAGTTTATTTTAAGAAACATATTGTAATGTCGACAGATGCATTTTTTCCCCTGTTTATATTCAGTTATTTAGTGTTAATCTTCTATTGCAATTTGCAGAGGATGCAGCCTTTTATACAGATGAGCATATAAGTCCTTCTCCCGGCCACTCTTTGATCCCTGCTGTCTGAATCCTAAACTACCGTCGTCCATGGCCCTGTTGTGGCCCTTCACAGCCCCACGTGGCCTCCCGTTGGTCTCTCAAGGCCCCCTTTGCACCAGTCGGTTGCTTTATCCTTTGTTCCCCTCCCACCAGCAGACCAGATGTTCATATATAATGCTGCTGATAAAGAAAAAAAAACTTTCCATTTCCACCAGAAGAGAGGGACCAGACGGAGAGAGGGGTGGTTATTGTCTGCCTCAAGTTTTTCTCACAGAGATGGAGGGGGGGGGGGGGGGGGACAGTAGAACTGCGGTAGCAACCTTTAGTGGACAAAGAGAATGCAGTTTGGCTTGCAGTGTGCATGGCCGTAACCTTTCTAGCTACCTCTGAGGTTTTAAGATTGCACTTGGCAACAAAAAAGCTAACAAAGGCTTCACCCTGCCAAAGCTTGTGCTCTGTTTTGTATGGAGTGTCCTCAAATGTTCCTTTGTCAAATTCATAGCGGCTTCTTTTTTTGGGGTAGTGCAGCCTGGTTACTTTCACACTCATTTATTGTGTTCTACTTCAGTGGCAGTTCTGTCTACGTTTCACTAATAGAGTTACAAGAGGCCACAAGGGGAAGCTATTATGTCATGCCCTTTTGCCAAAGACATTTTTGTGTCACCCTCTCTGTCGTTAAACAGTTTATCTTGTCAAAAAGTCATAAAAAGATGTATAAATGTCCAAACAAATCAAATAAATAATCTGGAAATGTAAGGATTAATCCAAACAAATGAATAAAATTGCTTGTGATGTTATAAATTAAGCACTTTAATGGGCATTGAGTTTGTGCTTACGAAATAAATCTGCCTTTATATAAGTTGAGACTTTATGTAGTTTGAGAAATACTATGGTTTGAATTCTCTTGCAATAAAACAACTGTTTTTGTTTGTGCCTCCACAGGATGTGACTGATGTGGAACAATATTTGGAGGCTGAATAGGCCTGTAACCATGGCTATTGTTTATACCTTATCTATCTGCCTCATTTCCTTCCCTGTTAACACTCAGTGTTTACTTCCCACTCATTTCCTGAATGCAAAGTCTCCATAAACTCTTGGTTAATTGTATCCAGATTCTGAATGAGACCCTTCTTCTGGTTTGCACAGTTTGGGTTTTGTGTCTTTAAAATAAAAGTTTGAGTCCCCTCGAGCAATTAGCAAAAGTTACCTTTCATTATACTCCAGAGAATAGCTATAGGGACTGGATTTCTTTCTTTCTCTATGGCCTCCGGTGTTTTGATTGCCTACTCACTGGCTCTGTTTGCTAATTGGTTAGTTCTTTGGGCAGCCAGGTGTGACCAGCCCTAAATGTAACTCCACATTCCTTCCTTTGGAACTGCTGTAATTAGCTTCAACTCAAGCATTTCTTAGCTCAGCGGCTTTTCTCCTGCTCCTTTTGTCTGCGTGTTTCTCTGACTCTGTCTCCCAAACTGATCTTTAATCCCTGCCCACACCTGTGCTTTTTGACTGGCTCCACTCCTACTCCAAGGCAAATACCCTTCTTATCGCCAAGCGAGGACAATCTATATGTTGTTTTGAAAAGGGCAGTTGGAGCCATTCAGGTCGTCTTGAGAACTAAATCTAAGATTTCAACAAGTGACTTTACAGATAAATGACAAATAGGGAGTCAGTCACACTGGTGTTTTTATCCTTTTTATATGTCTAGCTATCTTGGAAGGGGTGGCTTTTAATGACTTGGTTAAAATGTAATTTCTGTCAGATGCAGTGCCACATTGATCAGAGGTGACTCATCAGAGTGTGGCTGACCAGTAGTCCTACACAGCCAGCCATCAGCCTTATCAACACAGAGGGTCTTAGAGGGGATTTGGAAACAGGAAGAATCCCCAGCACTGGGGGCAGCTCCGGGCACACTGTGCTTCTGTGTTACCTTTTACATGATTGAGTCTGCTAATTTGAGCCGGTGTAGTCAGTGTAACGCCCCGAAAGAGAACACCTATCTTATCAGTAAAGTTTTTTTTTTTTTTTAACATTTAACTTGCTCATAGCTACAACACACTTCCACTATCAGGTCTTCAACCAGCTCTCATTTTAACAGCCAGTAAACCGAGTATGCACTGAAGAGACTGTGTTTGGTTAGCTGGATTACAGTGACGGAGAATGTTCACTGTAAAGGGCGCCCTGTGAATGTGTGAATGGGCTTTTGTGCACCTCTTAAATAATCTAGCCCACCTAAGGTAACCCACCAATAAAACAGGCTCCTACTCTCTCTCTCTCTCTCTCTCTCTCTCTCTCTCCCGTTTAGCAGGGCTCTGTGTCCCACTAGTCGGGTGGCGTGAATACAGGCATGTGTTTGGCTGCCGGCCAGTGGTAGTTTGTCAGCAAACGCACTAAATCCTGGGCGTAAGAGAGCAATGTTTCGGAATCTGCACTTGCGTAGGTTATTTAGAGAAATGCTGACATCTGTCCTGGGTAGAGAAAAACTCGAGGCGGCTCCGTCCTTTTGATTATGCCTTTCTTTTTCAAGAAAGGCTAAAGTTGTTTCTTCAATACCTAATGTCCATACCTGCTTATTTTCTGTAAAGTTGGTCTGCAGGCCTGTAATTTCTGTAGGTCACTGGAAATGTACTAAGCGTTGACTCATTTTTCTATAAGCTCTTGAAGGAATAGTCCTATTCTTTATTCTGAAGCTGCCTCACAATGTTGTCCTTATTTTACAAATTAGATATTTTGTCTTCATCAGGAATAAACCAAATCTTTGACTATGCATGAGAAGCAATTATTCCCCTAAACCTTACAGAAAGCTCCCGACTATTATATTGAGTGTTTCTTTTCTAATCTTGTTCCTCATTTGTATGATTCGTTGACTTTGTGAAAACAATAAGCCGGCTTTCTGCTGGGGTTGCATATCCTCTGTCATCTCAGCACACAATGTGTAACACCTACTTCAATAACGGCACTGGATATTTTTATTTTCTTCTTTATGAAAACAGAAGGTCGGCTTTCTGCTGGGGTTGGATATCCTTTGTCATCACAGCACACAATGTGTAACCCCTACTTCAATAACGGCACTGGATATTTTTATTTTCTTCTTTAGCGTGTCGTCAACAGTTGTGTTACAGTGGGTCTTCAGCTGGGTGCCAGGAGCGAGTCTCATCCTGCGCAAACTCAGTGGAATCCACCGGCTTCTGTGTGGTGGATGATGTGGGGAGGATTGAATTTTCTTTGGTTTTAGATGCTATGTTGACTGTCCTTTAAGCAGTGTTCAAATAATTCAGTTTCTAATTCAACATCATCTTAACAGTTGCTGGAGTTCCAGATATTTCGATCAAGACCAGAAAGAGGAGGAACAAATCATATTATTTTAAAATGGTGGAAACAGGATGGTGGTCAATTCATCCATTTTCTATACCGCTTATCCCCAACAGGGTGGCAGGGTTTGACAGGTGTATTTGGAATATATCGAACTCTGTTGGACAAAAAGAACAAAAGACAATAGACACGATGTAATCCTGCAACAGATAAGAATAAGAAAACACTCTATATCATTCCAGCACTCAGGTACCCCCACACTCCCCTTATCAATTGTTGACGCAGTGGTGTTTATCACGAAACAACCCAATCACAGATAGAGTCACCCATTTAGGCCATAAATTCCATCCATTATCTACGCTGCTTACTAACAGGGTTGCAGGGTCTTAAATTAAAGTTTCCAAAATAATTTTTTTTCCCAGAGGAATTCTTGGTGGAAAGTTCTAAGTCGACAAAAACTAAAGCTAAGTACCCGCTCTAAGACCAGAAAGCAGTGAGCCACACCCAGCCCCAGGAAAAGCTGTTTTCGGTTATTTTATTTATTTTTTTCTAATTGGATAAACAAGCGAGATGTAACATGTCCTCTGCCTCCTAACGGCGCGAGCTTAGCCGGCTCCTCCTGTTTCCACTCTTAACGTTAAGGTATGCCACATTTGTGCCGGCAGTATCTGGCACACAGTCACGGAAGTGGTACTACCCTTTCTGCAAGAAATCAAGTTATTTTCAAAACGGTTAACCACTCCCTTGAGAGAATATCAGCATGCAGAAGCTATTTGCTTTTGAGACATCTATAAAAGCTGCTGCCAGAGTCAGCACTATTTCCCAACCTCTGCCCTTCCGTAGAAGTTGGCCCTCATTAATCAGGACACATAATGACACAAGAGGAGGAGAACTCGTAGTCTGCACTTAACCATAGAGTCCCCTTCCAAAACGGCAAAGTTGGTGGAGCCACCCTGCTTCTCTGTAATTACCCACAGAGCCTTAGGGGCAAATCCATGTGGCTGACACGAATGCGTTCCCTCTTCTTTCTCTCTCCGCCTGCAACACGGTGTCCCAGGGCCGTGCCATGTGTCGGCAATATGGGAGGTCTTGGAAGTCGTGGCTTCTGCGTCTACCCACATTTTATGGCGTTTGCCCGAGATCCGTGGCAGCATTGCGCTCCCCGTTTCCGCACGTCCCACCTTTTTTTTTTCAGAGTGATAAACGTCCCTGTCCCCATCCGGGCCGGGGATAAATCTTGATGTTCTGTCCAGTCGGCTCAGCTTTTCACTTATCACTATCTAGTGATCGGAAGAGTCTTTCTGCATTTCTTTTAGTTCATGATGTCTGAAACCATTAGCAGATAGCACCATTCATATTCATTTCACAATTTTCCTTGTACATGTCAAATTGTATCACATAATTGACTTGTATTATACAGGATTGCTTTTTTTGGATGCCTGCCAGAAACGGTTTTCACAGACAAAAGTGGCTGTGGGGGTGAAGAACCAGTTATCATGCAAAGCAGTCTATCAAGAAGCGCAAAGTAGAAACACTCCAGAGACAGGATGCATTGCTTTCTTGCCAATGTGTACTTTTGTTTTTTCTCTGTACAGGAAGTTGGGACCAAAGAGTTTAAGAAAAACTTGGTGGGGTTATCTGTTTATCTGTTGCAGAGTTCCTCCAACTAAGAGGCTGAAAGCCTTCAAACTGCTCCACCTCGGCAGCCTGTTTGCTTCAGACTGCTGTGTGGAAAAGGGTTAGGGTTACGGGGGCGTGTGTGTGTGTGTGCGTGGGGGGGGGATGTTTGGGACTGTGCGAGTCTGTGCTGAAGCTGAAGAGCTGTGCAGAGGGGGGGGGGGGGTGTCTGATGAATAGGAGGACAGGTTTGCTGCTCTGCTCCCTCCACTGTTGGCGCTTCCCATGATGCCTTGCATCCACACACCCCCTCACAAAACTCTTTATGGCCTTGGGTCCGGTGCCAGATCTCTCATGCACGTGCCAATCGAAACACTCCGCGAAGTCCGACTATTTTTTTTCTTTCCTAATACACTCCAGCCTAACGCTGTGCATCTGGCTTTTGCTGCATGCGAGGAATTTTCATGCCTCTGTCAAAAAGCTCAGACCCAAAGCTTTAATTTGACAACGCAATTAAGCCCAGCCTGACTGGAGCTACGATACACAGGCCTGCAGACGGTAAAAAGCTTCAGCGGGCTGTCAGATGGGGCTGTACGGTTAGCGAAAATAAACAGCTCTTTACTCTGAGCAGACAGCTGTTCGAACATCTTTTGAAGTTCACATGTTGCGTTGCTCGGAGTGTCTGGAACAGGGTGACACTAAGCGCTGCAGCAGACTGAGTATTTGCTCTAAAACCAGTAAGCTCCCGGGCCTCCATCAGCACTCAAAACGACGCCCTCGTCGTTTTTTTTTTTTCTTTTTCTGTCCGGACAGTCATCTTTCCTTTCCTGGTCTCTCGCAGGATGTGAAGATATTCCGAGCGCTTATTCTCGGGGAGCTGGAGAGAGGGCAGAACCAGTACCAGGCCCTGTGCTTCATCTCCCGCCTCAGCCGCAATGAGATCATACCCAGCGAGTCCATGGCTCGCCTCAGACAGGTATGACACAGCAGATGCTGGATTTTGGAGTTTTTAAGATGCACGGAAAGAAAATGTTTTTCCCTATTTCTTTTCTTGTATCTATTTTTATTTATTTTTACCACACTTTGACTTACAGGTTTTGTATACCACGGTGAATGATTTTAGCCGTTTGGCTAACAAGCTTGCTATGATGATTAAATTGAATAGAAAAGAAAAAATAGGGGAGGTCAAAGGATGGAGAGAGGGGAAGTGGCTGGGAGAATGATCATTATTTTTCATTTATTTTTATTATTATTTTAATACATGCACTTTTCCTGTCTTCACTGGAATTTGATTGAATAGATTTTAATCATTCGGGCTGTTTTCCCAGAAAAATCCTCAGGCCATTCGCTTGGCAGAGGAACGGAGAGGACTGGAACAGCTGACCATGAGCGCACTGGTCAATCTCAGTCGAGTCTGGCAGCTCAGCTCACACATCCACAATATGTGCAGCGAAGCTCAGGAGGCCATCTATGTCAGAGAGGCGGACATCAAATACTGGCTGGACAAAGGTAATCTGCTCTGTGTCCAGCATCTTCAGGTTGTTTGTCTCTGTAACTCTGTCTTTCCTGTGCATGGCACCTTTGCAGCTCTTTCCAGTTCATTTTTTTGAAGTAACGTAAAGTATTTTGTCTGGATATCAGCTGATGAGGCCTTTGTGATAGTCTCAGACATCCACTTTTGCACCGAGCATATTTACAATGGGAAAACCTAAACATTTCATTTAAGAGTCTAAACACGTTGAGGACTTATTTAACCATTTGTTTTTGAAAGGGGGGTTTTCTTCGGGATCCAGACTGTTAATCGCAACAAAACCCAATGGTACAGGATGAGGAGAATCTATAGGACAGCACAATTGTCTGCTGACAGCTTTCTTATGGGGAAAACAATGTTGATGGTCATGGTTCCACCCAGCTCATCTGCAGAGGGAATCATAGCAGCATCTCCTTAGCATTACAAAACATCTGTTTTATTGGGAATTCTCCCTTTTTTATAAGCTCCTTTGTGTGCCCTCTCTAGCTCGGTCCGGTTTTTTAATTGAGTCAAAGCAAAAGGAAAAGATGCCACGGTTTTTCTTTTGTTTTAAATAACAATGCCTCTGTTTGTATTCTAGGAGTGGACGGCTCTATATTCGAAGTCCTGCCCCAAACAACGGAGGCACCAAGCTTTAAGGCCTGTCACTCGACTAAAGACTTGTGGCAGCCGTGCATCTGCACGTACAGCCTGCGGCTGGAGTGGTACCCGTGCCTTCTGAAGTACTGCCGCAGCCGAGACACCACGGGCAAAGGCACCACCTACAAGTGCGGCATAAAGAGCTGCAGCAAAGGCTACCATTTCACCTACTACGTTCCCCAAAAACAGCTGTGTCTTTGGGACGAGGAGACCTAGCATTTTGTTCTGGATGGTTTAAAAAAAAAAGATAATATACACCCCACCCCCACTCAAGTCAGCGCATCTCTGCCCATGCTATTCAGACTGAACGCGGCAATACTGGAGCTTGGTTTGCATGAAAGTGAAGATGTCTCAGGTGGGGGAGTTCTGAGGTCCAGATGTGCGAGTGGACACAGAAACACAAACGTATTCAGGTTCCAAACGAGACCAAAACCTCAAGTAAGGAGACATGCAGTGGAAGAGCTAACTGAGATTTTTTACCTTCTGGGAAAAATGAGACAAGACTTTAATCTAAAATGTGACCTTGCTGAAAAGCTGTCATTTTTGTGCCTTTTTTTTTTTTGGAGGAATTATTTGAGTAAATGACAACAACCGTGACCTCTAAAACAAGCTACAGCGTGCACAAAGCTGGTCAGTGCATTTCTGGTCAATTCACCAGCAGAGGAGGAACGGAGTCCCATTCCTTCTCAAGGGAGTTTCAGCAAACTTAATCTTCCATCCCTGTGAAGGAAAACGAAGATGGTGGATTTATATTTCTTAAAAAGCTCTGTGAAAAGCAGCCGGCTTAGTACCGGTTTGTGGGTAAAGGAGCAGGCTGTCGTAGACCATGCTTCTCCAGGGCTGGGTTTTATTTATTTTGGTTGCAGAGGAAAATTATGGAAGACTATTTTTGTATTTCATTTCATATCAGCCTAACCTCATCAGATTGTTTTCTTTTTTTTGCATTAAACAAGCTACTAAGCCCACCTCTTTAAACCACAAGTCCTCAGTATGATGAAGTACTCAAACTGACTTAAGAACATTTAAACTTATTGGATTTTGGATGCCATTTGTCATTCAATGTCATATTTCAGTTTCTCACACTTCGCTGTTGTCCATTAAATATGTTGGTTAATTATTCTTGATAGATCAGGCCGATTTACCCCATCAGCCCCATATGGGCCAAGCCATACTCACAAGTTACATTCTAGCTCGGTTTAAAAAGCATCTTGTAAACCAAAGTGGAACAAAATGTTGTCAAAAAATGGGAGTTAAAGTTTCGGTTTCAAGAAACGTTCCTTATTCTGATGTTCTTCTGTGTAAGGTTCACTAAAACATTCTTTGGGCCCTTTAAAGTGATCTATACTGCCACCTTCTGGTTTATCTTTATGCTGGTTTGATATATTTCCTCTGACGTCCCACTGCCAGAAATATTATCTTTCGTTTATGTCTGCTCAAGTCAGATCTTACAGGATGATAATTTATGCATTTCAAATCCTTGATGAATACACGTGTAACTCAAGGAGCACTTCCTAAACTCGTGGGACCAAATTAAGCTTTGCCCGTCTTCTCCAGAGATTAAATGGTGGAATTAGGGCTTTGGATTGTCTTACCTCTTATCTACATTTTGGCCTTTCCTGCATTATAAACATTTAGTTTTCCCTTTGTGTGTTGGTATGTCCTGCTAACTAAAGAACCAAAAGAGTGAAATATTTCTATTTGTGGCCTTCTGTGATGATCAAGTGCCTTAACATTTCCACTGATATTTTTGCTATGTTATTGTAGACTAAGTTGTTAAACTTTTTTTTTCTATGAAAGAATTTTGATTTATGTTGAAAAGGTTGTCCTAAGGGGAAAATGAAGCAATTTAGGTATTGTTTCTTCTAAGAGCTGTTTACGAGAATTGTTTCAATAAAGTCTTTCTTTGCACTGCATATACACAGTGGTTCAGTTATTGAGCATTTATTTGGAATATTTAATACCTTTAAATGACATTAAACAATGAAGCCAAATAATAGTCTAAATAGAAACTGTATTTTTTCAATAAAAGATGGTGAAGTCTTGAAGAATATGTGCTCATTACCTAACTGGTGTGTTAGGTAAGTTAAATAAAAAATAAACATACAGGTGTGGAGTAATGTCTCCTATTGACCACACGGTGTCGCCACTGTTAAGAAAAGACGAGTCAACCCGTTGTAGCTATGGCGAGAAAGCTAAAGGATGGAAACATCTTCGCTTCTCTTTGCTATTTCAGGAACCTTTTAATGTCTTAACTACTTTCAGTTGCAGGGACCTTTAGCTGAATTCAGGGTGCCACATTTGCATATTCGGCGGCGTGGCTCTTTGCGGGACAGATGGAATGAGGTGATGCTGAGGGAGGCGGTCGGTGCCACCGCCGCAGCTCAAATGAAGGACAGCAAGTAGCAGCTCCTCTGTCATTTGTCTCCCCAATAAATAAAAAAATTCAAACCAGCCGAGGACACAAAAAACGCAGGATGTGAGCGGAGGGAGAGAGAGAGAAAGAAACAAATGCCTGCTACCAAGGTAATGATTTTTAAAAGCGCTCGTGAGCTGTCCCCGCAGAAGCCATTAGCCTGCTACCGGTTAGCCTGCCACCCGACCCGAGCACCTCGTTAGCTTGTTGGTACACAACAATAAATAAATAATATTAGATAAATAAATAGTAACTGTAGAATAAGCTCCGGTCCCGTTCAGTCCACGAAAATCAGCTGCATTAAACCGTAAAGGGTGGAAATGCATTCAAAATTACCCGGCCAACCACTGTCTTTTTCATTCTAATTCTCTTAGAAGTGGGGACAGTCTGTGTGAAGACTAGTTGCAGTTGAAAAATGAAAGCTTTTCTTGTAAATCAATCAGCTTTTCATTTTATTGGGTGAGAAAACATTAAAACCTGCTTATTATTAAGTTACTACTGTGCCAGCCTGCGACCGTTTGTTGATATGTTTTTCAAGCATCACTTTCTTGATGCCTTCCTTATTTGTGTTTGTGTGTTCAGAAAAAGCAAACACCACTAAACTGAAAAATCCTGAGCACACTGATGTTGAAAGGACAGTTTATTTGGGACTGATTGAGGGTGTTTTTAAAGGGCATGTCCCTGCTGAAAGCGCCTCCCTCCCTCCCTCAGGGGAACCTGTCTGAGGCCCAGTGCTCAGTAACCTCTCAACCAGTTTTGAAACTAGCTGAAAGCCATTGAGGGGTAAAGTGTACATCTTGTTCTAGTCTTAAGAGGGTGGCACTGTCCGTCTACATGGTCTCACCTCCTAGTACACAACGTCACGGCAGAAGAAGAGACGGCCCCCTCACCCCACCAGACCCTCAGCAGGCCGACTATAGTACTATTATAGTTCAAGCAAAGGCTAATTGTTGGTCTCTCACAAAGGGTGTACAGTCCAACTCTTTGGATGGTATTTCTGTCTCTTTCTACTGTAAGTGATATTACTGAGCAATATGCGGCTCCCTGCATTTTTCTTTCACCCGGTGATGCGTGTCAAAGTTGGCTTGACGAGCGCTAAGTTCAGCCACTTGAGTTTTGCTTGATTTTTTTTATTTTTTATTTTGTCTTCAGAGGGAAACATGGCACTGCTTGTAGTTTGTGGGCTCCTGTGCCTGTCCTGCTGGGTGTCCCTCTACTTTTTCTTGTGCAACATCAACGGGTCCCGGAGCTCCGAGTGGAACTGTCGCCTCGTCACCCTGGTGCACGGCATCCTGGCCATCTGCATCACGGCATACATAGGATACGTGGACGGACCCTGGCCCTTTACTTACCCAGGTAAGCTAACATTGTTCAAAGCTAACATTAAAGTCTTGATTAATCACTCCAAAAACATAATTTTGCATTGAAAATGTTTAAGTTGCACAGTGAGTTTTTTTTCCCTCAGTGATCATGATTAAAAGTTTTGAATATGATAAAAACTATTGTATTCTGTTTGCTTGTTTTTGATGATGCCAGGCACAAAAAACACCCCACTGCAGATATCTGCCATGATGGTGAGCTTGGGCTACTTCATTTTTGATATGGCGTGGTGCGTGTACTTCCGCACAGAGGGGCCCGTTATGCTGGCCCACCACACCATGAGCATCCTGGGAATCCTGCTGACCCTGTGGCTGGGGGAGTCTGGCATCGAGTCCTGCGCCGTGCTCTTCGGCAGTGAGGTCACCAACCCCCTCCTGCAGGCCCGCTGGTTCCTCAAACAGACGGGACACTACCGCACTCTGCTGGGAGACGTTGTGGACGTCCTGTTCGTGCTGCTGTTTGTGACCATGCGAATCTTCGTGGGAGGCACAATGCTGTACTGTGAGCTGATCTCCCCGAGGCCCAGATTCTTCATCAAGTGTGGAGGAGTCGCCATGTATGCTCTCTCCTGGGTCTTCATGGTGGACATTGTTCGATTTGCCAGTCGGAAAAGAAAGAGCTGGCAAAAACAGCGTAAAGATCACCAGCTGACTATGGTGGCTAATGGTCATAAAGGGAAGATGGACTGATCAGATCCTGAGTCCAAAGTGGATATCAATCTACACTATTGTTTGCTTTTTTTTCTCCACTTTCGATGCTCAAACTGCAAAAATATACTCCCTGTAAAGTAACTTAAGATTGAGAAAGAGTTTTTTTTTAATGGACATACTGTGTTATCTGCCTGTAAAGTCAAAAGTTTTGTAGAACTTTTTATGCAGATTAATCCAAACACATCAGATTAGGAGTTAACAGGTGCAGCTAACAACAGCAACATAGTTTACGTCACTAAAAACCAAAGCACTTTCTGAAAACGCATGCCAATGGAGCTGCAGTGAACCGGGGACCCAGTGCTGCTCCAAAGGGAAGTGCAACATTGGGAAGGAGACAGTTTACATGTCAGACCTGGAGTGCCTGCGGAACATTTTTACTATAGCACATAGCAACAAAAGCATTTTCAAAACAAAGGGTTTTCTGACAAATGTTGAACAGATTTTAAAGGTTTACTCAGGGAAAGGCAACAGTTTCAAACAGCCGCAGTGAACTCTAGAGGAATCTGAGAGAGGTGTCTTATTATTTCTTTTAAGCTTTTGCCTACTGTATGAGATCTTATTGAACACATTGCCCCCAATAAGCTAATTTCAATTGCTCCATGCAAGTGAACAGAGATAAGTGTGTCAATGACAAATTGGAACGCTAATGATGCTAAAACTTTGCAGTCCATTTGGATGCTTATATGAAATATAAATATCTTCGAGCATTGTGGAAATGCAGAGAATTTTTTTTTTACATTTTAAATGACTAAACTATCGTGATTTCACTGAATCGGAGGTGTGAAAAAACTCCAACATGAATCAGCCGGACAAACGAGCTGTACGTTTCACTAAGACATTTCACACGATTTGTGTGTAGTAGGGTGTTCGGGAAATGTTCAGTTTAACTGAAAGAAAGTTTTCTCCATCCAACCATCATAATACAAGCATTGCACTCAAGTTATGAACAAGTCTGCTCTCATGTCTGTGTTTAGATATAACAACTTGTTTGCTACGTATCGTTTGAGGATTTCTGTCACAATGTTCTAAAAAAGACAACCCGACTGCCCTTAAAAATGGCAGTGCAGGTGTTGTTGGATGGTGCATTTGTTTCATTGTATTAACTAACTTTATTGGCTTTACCTGTGAAACTGTGCACATAGCATCTCTATCAATTGCGGTTTAATATATGTATATATATACATTTAATGTACATTCTTGTTAAAAAAAGAGCCTATAGTTTATGCCATAAACTGACTTATGGGGCTGGAATGATCATTAAATGGGGACTTAGTTTACAAAAATAAACTATTTATTCTAAAGACAATTGAGAAAATCTTAACAGAGCAGTGGAAAAAGCCTGTGATCTTTCTTCAGACTAACCACACCTGCACAGCTCTAGCCAACGTTGGTATTGAATGTGATCCAATCGACAAAGTCTGTTAACCCGACTGCAACTGTTAAAATGTCCTACGGATAAAAAAGTGCTCTGTCTCTATTTTCCCTGTCTTTTTTTTTCTTACTCGTGCAGTAATGTAACCCTAAACCCTCTAACTCAAATACTCTGTACTCGAGGGCCATTTCTGTCTTGAGATTTCATAACTACCCTTTTAAATGCCTATTTGAAATAAAATGACGAAACCTGAGAGGTTATTCTGTGTGTTTCAAACAACATAATATTGACTAAATCCAAGGTATTAGGAGAGTTTGACTCAGTGGGTGTTATTCTCATGTGGACTGTGACTGAAGTTACCTCTGCTGTCCACATGATGGTGTCATATCAATTATATATCAATGATCATGTATGAGAAAACTAGCCCTCAGTTCTGAAAAGAAGACATTTAAATAATAACAAAGTTGTTTTTCCCACTATTTCATGTTAAAGTTTTTTTCTTAAACTTAAACGTAAAGGTTTTATCTTTAATTTTTCTCTAAATTATTTCTCTTTGATGCTTTTGAGTAGAAATAGCTGTATGCCATATATGCTTTGCTATATATTGCCATTTGCAAGCAGGGAATAATAACACAGGACTTGAATGCAAAACGCAATACAGTAATTACATTCACTGCACCAGTTCATGCTGTACATTTGGTTTACTTATCAAGCAAAAAAATACTTGTAAAAGCACAACAGCAATTAGAGGATTTGCAGAGATTCACACTGGCACTGAAAAGGAATAACAAACATTCATCTTCTATAGGACCATGGTGTTTCCACTTAGTTGTATTTCAATATTCTACTAAATATAAGAAACAAAAAAATCTGTTGGCAGGCCAATTAATTTCACTAGAAAACTAATGGTGTGAACATTTCCTGAACTAAACTTGGATGGTCCACAAAGTTTTCCAAAGAATAAATGGATAAAACCCAGCTATAGACAAAGTGTGAATATCTTTGCCACTGGTGTTCTGCTAGTCACGCTTGGTCTCATAGACATATTCGCTCAGTTGACTGTTTTTTCTCTGTATCCAGTTTTTTTTTTCAGGACTTTATGTTTGGAAAAGCTAAGCATGATAAATCGATACATTAGTTCTACTCAAAGACAACGTTGCGAGCAGTAAAAAGAGGCAATCACGAATTAGCAGAATCATGCAAATTGTGAAGAGGATGGACAAGCTAGCACAACTATCTTAGATGTAAAAACAGGAAAAGTTGAGAATGGTTTCTCTGCCATTAAAAAGTAAACAAACACGTAATATCTATCCAACTCACTAGGTTTGCAACTAATCATCATTAATATTGTGAAGACATTGTTTGATCATGACATCAGAGAGCGGTGAAAATATTTTTTTAATAAGCTGTGATTTTATTAATTACAGATACATTATTCCTAGAGGTAAAACAGGGGGAAAAAACAGCTTTAGGTTATTTTTGACAACCCAAAATGTTTGTATGTCTAACCATTCCAAAGAAGTGTACTTTTTCATCCAATTTATGAACATGATAAACAGCAAATAATCATTTTTTTACTAATCCGTTTATGTCCCACTTTGCAAATCCTGAAATCAGATTAATAAAAAGGGGATTGTTAACTTAGTAATCATTACAACTATAAAATACTGATAATCAATACCAGTTCTAAAGGTTGGTATGTCTACCTAGGTTACTTGGTTTTGTTCAATTTAAAACTCAAGTCCCAAAAACCTTAAGCGGACCACCAAAGTGGACTCAAAGCATGTAGATGATCACACAAGAGTGTCTTGTTTTAATGTAGACATTTTCTTTCAAAAACAAAAAGCTTAACTGTATTTAATTCCAAAACATGTCAACCATTTTGAAGTTCGTTTTATTATCCACATTTGGCTCCATTTGTATTTCATTTTGTGGTAGCTGTTTTTTAAAGCCTAATATTAAAAGGAGGGCTTTTATAGTTCATACAGTTACGATTTTTCAAGTTCTATCAAAACTGGAATGAGGAAAACAATTTACAGTGTAACTAGGCGTCTCAAATGCGTTTCTCAAATGCAACCTGGGTTAGTTATGAGCCCTTATTTACTGCAATATGTTCAAATAAAAACGTTTTCATGCATTCCGTTAATGCAACAATGCATCACAAACCGTTCAAACCAAAACCAACTAACTGTTACATGTGATAGTCTCAGACGCATCGCCGTTGTTATTGTTTTAGAGAGTAATGCCCCCCAACATTTAGCTGAAACTAAATTTTCCCATCTCCCGGCGGAAGTGGTTAGTGGAAGCGCTACTGGACTCCAACTGGTAGCGGGCTAGGGCGTTGCTAGCGGCAGAAAGTGGGATTTTGGTACCTTTCTGTAACTTATAGTCCTTCGCAAACAGCGTCTTTCGTCGGAGGAAAACGTGTTCCACCAAAAGTTTAAAGCCCCCCTGCGTTGTTTTCGCCGGTGTTTACAGAGGAGTGTTTTTTCACTTTCTGCCCCGTTAGCTGGCCACATAGCTAGCCTGCTTCCCATCCACGGGAATTCTGCCGAGAAACGACTGAAATCTGGAAACATGGAGTCAAGCAACGTAGCGCTGTGCTAACCGACTCGTCTGGATTTTCTTTTTGCCCAAGGAGACTTTTGAAGGACGGAACACGGAAACCTACTGCTAGCTAGTCAGCGTTTGGCGAGGTGTTGTACATATTTTTTTTTCCGTCGTTGGCCGGGCTCATTGTTGTGAATGGGAGTTTGCTTAGTTTGCACTCGAAATCAGAGCACACGAAGCAAAGTTTTTTTTTTTTTTCTCGCTGAAAGAGCTCATCTGTTTTGTTAGCTGGTAGCTGGCGAGATTCGGCTTCTGCCAGCTCTCACCGGAAAAAAAAGGCTTTTCGTGCTTGTTTTTATTCCACATTATCACATAGCTAGTCCTGTTGCCGAATCCAGCGGCCACAAGAGCAGCCACAGTTGTTTTTCTGATTTGTAACACGGTTTGCTCAAACTCCGGACTGCGCGAGTCTCATGGTCACGAGAGAGAGAGAGAGACGTCCCCACAGCCGCCGACAGGCATTTTTTTTTGGGAAGCAGGGAATACCAAATGGGACTACAGGAATTCCCAGCATCTTTTAAGATCGTTTAGGCCGTTCGGCCGAGCAGAAGTTGGTCGCAGACGAAAGACATCGCAGGGCCAAGAGGTGTCCGTCTGGGATATTGGATTGTTTACACATTTCCCACTGAAGGAAAACTGGTATGTGAACGCAAAGGAGTCATACGAGGAGTTTTTATACAAGTTGTACCAGCTGGAGCTGTGCATTTATTTCCACTGGAAGCAAACAGTTTTTTCTGTGCGTGGCTGGAATATCATCAAACTGTAAAGCTAATACCAACCAAGGCCCAGATTCATTTTTTTTTATGATCGACGCAGAAGATTGCTTGCTGCCGTTTTCATTCGCAACGAGTGTTTGGTTTTGGCTGGTCGCATCTTGTTTTTTGTTATTTCCTTTAGGTTGTGGACGTGCCTCGCAGTAAATCTAACACTGCACCCAGGTTCATTGATTCCCAGCACCACTCTCAAGATCCTCGCCCTAATTCAGACGAATGCTAAAGAAGGACGCCCCAGGAAATCTGCTCACCACGCTCTGGAAAATGTTAATGGGATATAATTTGCAGCAAATCTAGAACCGGAAGCCCAATGAGTGACACACAGTCCAGCTTCACTGACAGGTACAGTATACGGTGCCCATATGTTATACAAATCGTGCCACATGTACAGACCAAACCCTCAGATGAGTAAACTGGAGTGTGTTCCAACCGTTGGAGTCATATTCAGTGTATCCATCTAAAACGCAGTCTGGTGAAAACATGTCTGACATGGTTCAAGTAAACTGCTTTTTGTAATTATATAATCAGTAATAACTGTGTTGTGAAGTAACCAGAGGAAGAGCACGAATTCTGCTGATCTCAGCCGGGTTAATGGTGGTTTTTAGTCTATAATACTGCTTGCCTAGTGAGTGATGAGGCCTGCCACTGTTTGGGTGCAACGGGACATTTATACATGATCCCTATACACCTTTCAACATCAGCATTACCTACAAGCCTTTAAAGCTAACCCTTTCATGCACCTATTAAACAATCTCTAGATTTAAAAGCTTTTTATCCATAAAAAGTAATCACTTCATTTCAGGCAATTTTTAGTTTAAAATCTAAGTATTGTTCTGGCCTGAACAATGGTAAAAAAAAAAAAAAAAAAAAAAAAAGGGGTTAAATTTTTTATAAAAAATTTTTTTTTTTAAAATTAAAAATTTTTTATTTGGCTATCAGTCTTTTGCATCCCTGCCGGTTAAACATGTTGAACTGGTGAATCACATCAAGGTTTCCTTTTTGAATAGTACATACCTGCAAATACAGCAGGCCAGTACACTGGAGTGTGCTTTGGAGTTCTTGGAATAGAGGGGAGCTTATTGCACAGGTTGGGATGTGAAATATCCTCATGGCTTGAGCTGGAGGCTAAAGCCCAACCCATTTTTCATGACCCCCTTCCCCCACTGCAGCAATGGCAACAGTGGTTGGCACCAACTGTTATTGTGAGTTTTTATTGGTTTGTGTGGGTGTGTGTGGTTTCTCAAATCGTATTAGCATGCCACTATCTATGGCAACATTATTTCAAATGGAATGGATATATAAATATGTCTGATCATAAATGTATAACAAATAGCACAGGGTATGTTAAGAAAGCAAGATATACTGTTAGCATTCAGTGTTTATTTATTTATTCTTTTGTAGAAGTTGCAGTTAGACATTCCATTTTATTGTTTTTCATATTATACAGTGTATGTGGTCATAGCAGATTTGCCCCAATTCGTGACGGCTTGACAAAATGTTACACAGATTTCTTGCCTGTTTATATTACATTAAAACTTGTTTTTGTGTTGTTTTTTAACATGCACAATATGTACTAATAGTTATGGTTTTACCCAGCAATTCTTGCTTAATGCCAGCTCTTACTATGTGTTCATGAGCAGTCTTGGCCATATGCAGAGCCAGCTGTTTACCTCTGTTGCACAGCTACAACAGCTGGCCTGTCCTGTAGGATCTGCTTTGCGTGTGCTTACTACAATATTTGTTGATTGGGATTTCAGTCATCGATATTGAAGGATTTCACCAGTTTCTGCCTTAGCCCCTATGTTTGGAATTTTGAACCTTTTCTTTTCCATTCACTGTTGGCCTTGATGGAAGTATGCATCCCGCATCCACTGGGGTTGGGCTG